GATTTTTGTCTGAATTGCTGTGTTAATGCACTGTTACACATTTCTTGCAGTGCTGCAGTGGCATGTGTTGGGGCTTTTTATGAGAAGATGGGGAGGATGCTGGGAAGCTCCTTTCCAGATACCATCAATAATCTTTTAAAGGCATTAAAGAGTGCAGAGGTATGCCACGTGAGAGTAAAGAAACTAGGAGCAGGCACAATACAGTATAAAAACAGTAATGGAGGGATTGATTTGTAACGTCACTTTCTTCTATTTTATTGATGTAGTCACAAGGTAGAGGAGAGATCCTTCTGAGTCTGCAGAAGGTGCTCAGCGGACTGGGTGGAGCTGCAGCTTCTTGTCACAGAGACATCTACAAGAATGCTCGCTCTCTGCTTACAGACAGGTCCATGGCTGTACGCTGTGCAGTAGCAAAGGTCGGTCTCACAAAAACACAGTTAAGATTTTTAAATGTGTCAACTATCTTGCGCTTCTTTGTGGGGATTTTGTGGGCGGCTGGGGCCTTCCATATCATAAAGTTAAAAGCTACGTAGAAGACACACAGAGTAATCTTCAAACTCTTTCTCCCAAAACAGTTAAACTTGGTTTTTGATCTTAAGTTGTTAAGGCCCATCTGAGGAGCCATCAGCGTTATGCAAGGCTTCATTCTCAGTTTCACTCATGAAAGTAAAGGTACCGCATGATTACTTGTGATCACTGTTTTCAGTACGATCTAATTTTCCCTTTATGACACAAGTACAGCAATTGTGTGTCAGAATGAGTGCAGACTGTTTTTAAAGGGAAGAAACCACTGACTTAAATGCTTTTGCTGTGTCACGTATGTCAACCGCATACACTGTTTCAATTTCCGTTTAGAAAGCGTACAAGTCACTGTGTGTATTGTAGCATTATGTGCACATAAGCCTCTGAATTCATGTCATGAAGTAGATATTACCAGTACACACATTATATGAAAAGTAATGATAGCGTCCCATATTTTTTCCTCCTTGCCTGATCAGTGCCTGTTGGAGCTACAAAATGAGGCTGTATTCATGTGGACCACTGAACTGGAGAACGTCGCTACTTTGTGTTTCAAGGCCTTGGAAGGGTCTAACTATGGCGTTCGGGTAGCCGTAGCGAAACTGCTGGGGACGGTTATGGCCACGGCCCTGATGCCCAAACAAGCAGCTGGTAGGTTACAGAGTGGATTTGTT